GTTAATTTCTTTTTTTTATTTTCTATCTTTTTCTCTCTCTTAATAAGAACGACCTTCAATATTTGAAATAACGTTCTTTAGATGTAATGATGAAAATTCATCATTGAAATTTATAAACTTTATTTTTAGATTTTAACGACGAATATTATCATCTATCATCATAATTATCTGAGAAATAGATATATCTATATATATATGTATATATGAATGTATTTTAATGAACGTTTGTTCTTCACGTTTCTACGATCTACGTGATTTGAAAATTCTCACGTATGTTTGCGTGAACAATATAAGTTTTAAACTTGAACAACAACAACAAAAAATACATACATAAGTGTCGTTTATTTTGATATCTATGTAAAAGATAATAACAAGTTATTTTTTTTTTTGTATATATATCTACAAAGGTATTATTTGATGAATCGTAAGATTTTTTAATTTCTCGCGTTGACAGCATAAAATGGTTTGCAAAATGATTCAATAAAATCGTATTTAGTATGATTTTATTAAATAGGTAAAGAATTATTTTATTAATAATAATAATAATAATAATAATTTTGATGTATTAATTAGATTTTATATGAAATTATTATTATTAATATATGGAATTAAATTATAATATAAATTTATTAAATTAAAAATATTAAACTTAAATATATATATAATTTATATAAATATATTTAATAAAAATAAAATTTAAAATTTTAATTATTTATAATTCAATTTATAATTTGAAAAAGTAAAAATTAAAAAATATAAAATTAAAATTTTATATATATATATATAATATTTTATATATTATAATATATAATAAATAAATTTGTATATATTTAGGGTTAATATTTTTATTTGCACAATTCCATTTGAAGGATAAATATTAAAAATATTTTACGCTATATAATTTAATTAATTATTAATGATAATACTATATTATTTAAAATATTATTTGTGAAACAAAATAATTTGATACATTTTAAATATCATACAATTATATTATTAATAATTAAATCAACACAGCTAATAATTTTGATCAGACAATAAAATGGTGCACCGATTGGGGACACAAAACTGGTAATTTTATCTAACGCGTAATATTTTTAACACACAAATACTATTATAGCATGATAAATCTATTTCTATTTCTATTATATTATCTTTGATCAATTTCGATGCTTTCTTTACCTTAAAAATTGCAAAAGCTTTTACTAAAAAAAAAAAAAAAGAAAAAAAAGAAAAATTTTTATTTTATTATTGCTTTATTATTACATTATTTTATTTATGCTTTTTAGCATATTTCTCGTGAAACATTTTTACTGCACTTTGGACTTCAATTATTATTCAAAGATATAATCGAAACTAGAAACGAAATAAAACTACGATTAGTCGGGTTATCAAATTGACATGCATATATTTTCATAATAGAAACAACAATATTTTTCAATGGATAATCATTTTCAGCATGTTTGATGAGTGTATCGATGAATAAATATCAAAATTAAATTAACGTGTATTTCTCCTTTCTTCTTATTTGGTTTTGCAAATGAGAGTTGAATAGCATCCATTATTCGAATGAAATTACACTCTTGTAATAAAATGAAATATGCGCACGCGTATACAATGAACAATGCACTGGATTCTTACCAATTAACCAATTAACCAATTAAAATCGTTATCTGCATTTATAAAATAAATCAAAAAGTTGTAGGTGATTTTCTGTCTTTTTTTTTTGTTTTTTTTTTTCTTTTCCAAATTTATTTTTTCCTATTCTTACAAATTTGGGATAACACTTTTTGCATAGAATATAAAAATACATACAAACTTGATTTGTAATTTAACAAATGAAATAAGAAATTTTGTAGATAAATTTCAAATCAAAAAATATTCGATGGAATTGAATGTTTATTGAATTTTTTTTTCTTTTTTATTTTTTTTTTTTTTCAATTGAATATCTTTATTTGAAATTTCAAATTGTGATTCGTCATATCACATGAATTTTAAAAATCATCTAAAAAACTTTTGCATACTCTTTCAATCACGATTAACAAATCATTTCATTTGCCATGCATCTTCTTACATTTTAATCAATCACACAATATAACAAATACAACAAAAGTATATTAAAAAAAAAAAACAAAACAAAACTCTCCTATCCACATCATATCGAAAATAACATTTGATTTCTAAATGGTGTTGGAAAATATAATTGTTAACATATTTCTAATTGTATTTTTTCCAGACGCATGGTTTAACCCCGAAAGACTGAATCCGAGAGGTAAGAAAGCAAGAATGTTAAGAAAGGTATTTGAAAAATCTATGTATGTATGTATGTATATGTCTTGAAAAGTAGAATAGAAGAGGTATATATATACATATAAAATAAATGTATCCCCCATTTTTTTTCTTTATTATTATTATTATTATTATGTATTTGTCCAACAAAAATATCCAATCTCGTTTAATTTATTTCTAGCTTAGAAAAACATAAAAAAGAAATAAAAAACAGGCAAATATTTTTTATACAAATGTTAGATGATATATTACAATGTATTATAAAATATGTTATCTATATATATATATTATATTATATTATTTTATATATATATTATATATTAATTTAACTAATATAAATATAATTTATTATATTATAATATATATTAAATTAAAATATATATATATATATATATATATATATATAT